AATCTTAGGAAAGACCTGTGCGTAAAGAATCCACATACATCACTTCTTCATTGATTTTAAATATAGCACAGTCAGGCGTGAAATACCTGAACGCATTTTGCAACATTCGAAGCTTTCGAAAGCACTAAAAATTTCACTTTCCGCGTAATTTTTCAACCTTACTCCCTGCAGGGTTACCATAGCGTGTTGCGTGTGCTTGTATGTATATAATTATGCATGGGGATGAACGTATGATTTTTAAGGCATGATTTTTTATATATTGTACATACATATATATGTGAAGTGATAACTAACAAAATTGCTTGTTGCAATTACTTTTTTATATGATTTTTTGTTTAATTTTTTTTTTTGATTTTTTTTTTCATTTAAGCAAATTCTTATTTAAACTCAAATTGATTTAATTGTGTATGTTGGCATGAGAATTTATTTATTTAACGCTACGCGTTTAAAAAAATAAAATTACTTTAAGCTGCACTTTTGGTTGAAGTGCAAGTTTTTTTATTTTTATTTTTTATATGCTTATTTTCAACTACTTGCTAGAGTTTTGAGGGATTTGATTTTATCGTGTGCCAATACTTGCAATTTATTTCGCCCAAAAGCATGCAATGGTTGAGTGTTGAAAACACTTTCAGTCGATTTTTATTTAATTGAGTTTTTTTTTTTTTGAGTAAATAAATTCAAGTATTGACCGTTTAACCAGTTATATTACACCAGCGTATTGTTTCAAAGGTGCTCTAAATGCTTTTGCTTTAATGCAAATTTTTTGTAATTTTTTTTTTAGAATATTCTTTTTAGCAAAAAACAAATATGTTCATATGTAGATTTTTTTCTAGTGAAATCATTGCTGGAAAATTTCAAACATTTCGGTGTGGTCTCGTGTTTTGGCAATTTTTTTTGGTTTCTTTCATTTTTTTTTTGTTTTTTGAGTTTTTTTTTTTAATTTGTTATTGTTTTTGTATATCGTTTGGAACAACAACTTGCATAATATGCTGGTTAAACTGGTTTGGTTTGGTTGTATGGGTGTATGGGTGTTGTGCGTGTGCGTATATATGTGCATTGTTGGTATTAAAGTAAGCAAAGGTTTTTAGTCTTTTTTGTGTTTTAAAATTTTTTTTAAATTTTTTTTTTAACACTATATTGTTTATTTAGATAAGATGGCATATGTTTGTTTATTTATTTGGACTTTTAAGCAAAAAACAATTATTTTTTCTTTGGTGTTTGCTGTGTAAAATCCAAAATATTTGATTTATTAATAATAATATTAAATTAATTATTATTACGGTGTTTTTTTTTTGTATTTTTTAGTACAGACATACAATGTGAGGCCCACATAAACGGCAAGCTGACAATGTACACTCCCACTAGACCACTGCGTGTAAACTACTCTTATTGAAATCAAACAAATTTTCGACGTTTATTGCATTTCGGTTTAAGTTTGAAAAAAAAAAATTATTATTATGTTTATATAATTTTTTGTTATAGCTGTGTATATTTTGTTTTAAAGAAATAGTTATGTTTTTAACAAATGTATGTTCAATGCTGTTTATTTCGTTTTGCATTTAAAGTGTAGCATTTAAACAGCCCAATGTTTTAATTTTTTATTTGAAATATATGAAAAGAAAAATTTAAAAATGAAAAAAACTTTTTAATGTAAATAAATTTTTTTATATATATTTAATATTTTTTTTTATTTGTAATATTTATTTTTGTTTAAAAAAAAAAAATGTATATATTTTTTGAACTAAATTTTTTCTTCATATCATAAAAATAAAAATATATTTCATATATATTTTTATTAAAGTAAACACTTTTTTGTGAAATAAAATATTCCATTTTTTTTATAAAATAAAATAAAAATCTTTATAATGCAGATATAGAAACGTATGTAATGTATATTAGACAAAACAAAAATTTTTATTTTCACTAAAAAATTTTCTTAAATAAAAAAATTATTAAAAAATAAATTACATTTAATATAATACATTATTTAATAAAATTTTTAGCGTAAATAAAATTTTTGGAGTGTTTTAATATACATAATATGTAGTTTTTAATTCAAATTATAGAAACTAATACATTTTATTTATTTTTAAAAAGTTTTATTTGGTAAATAGAGATTTAATATATTTCTTATGTATATTACATAATTTTTATTAATATTGAAAAATATTTTTATTCATTAAAAAACTATAATGAATATTATTTCTAATAAAAATAAAAATATATTTTTAGTGTAAATATTTTTTTTTATTTTTTTATTTTATTTATTTATTTATTTTTGTGTAATTTTTATTTGTAAAAAATATTAAATTTTTTTATCTTACCAAAAATATAAAAAAATAATAATTTGTTTATTGTATTGTTTAAAACGTTTCTTTATATTACTTAAATAAAAATTCAGAAATTTATATTTATTTTTTTCTATTAATGAACTATACACAAAATACATTTAAACACCTATATTGTATATAATGAACAACGAAGACACATTTAATCATCATTAGACCGTAGTGTTATGTAATTAGCAGAAATTAAAAAGAGTGTGAAAATAATAAAAAAAAATTTTATAACCCTATTCTGTCTAGCACCACAAAATCGCCAACCTCACAGTAGTAAGCAGTGCCTTGCCTAAGACCATACATACATGTTAATGCAGTAGTTTAAACTACTCATGAGCAAAAAAGGCATAGTTTTAGGCGCGCTATTCCACAGCGTTGTGAGATATTGATTTTGTGTTGTCAGTCAGTGTTGAATAGTAGGCCGTACTTGAAAAATTTTAAATATTAAAAATATTCTTATTAAGCAAGTATAGCTTACTTTACATTTATAGCTTTAGAATTTTGGAAAATTAAAAATCAATGATTAAAAAAATATAAAAATATTTTATTTTCTTGTTTTAACGTGTTACTGCTTTGTTCTTTCTTTTTACTTTACGCACTGCATTTTTATTTACATTTTTATTATGCAGCTTACTGAAAATAGCGAGTGGATATGATGTATGCAAAATAGTTAGATTACTTGCATTAAATTTGCTTTATTATTTGCACTTAGCTAAGCACATTTCAAAGCAGTGGGTTTGGAAAGCTTTTGAGCTTTTAAGCTGTCATGTGATTATTTTAGAAAAAGGACCGAATTATAATTTGTGTACAGAAAATAATTTATTTCATTCTATTGCATTTATTTTTTTTATAGCTTTGAAGCGTTCAGGAAAGCTGTTGTTTGATAAAAGCTGCAGTAAGTACCCAGTTAGCTGGTTAGAAAGCTTTAGAGTTTTCATGCAGAAAGAAAATCCTTTTAATTTTACGCTAATTATGGTGTTTGAAGAAGAACTGTATTACCACCTCTGTGGATTGGAGAGACGTTGAGCTTTTACGCTGAAAAAAAGGAATGAGTCAGGAAAAATGTTTTTGGGCGTTTAAGGAATAACTTATTTAAAGAATTTAGAATTTCATTCATTTCCCCGTATGCAGTTTGCTATTATGCTGCGAATTGCTTAAAAGAGTTTGAATGCATTTAGAAAGCTTTCATTCAGTAAGAGCTTTATTACCCAATCTCAGAGTACAAATAGGCAAGAAGTTTTAAAATATTTAATTTTTATGGTAGTATGGGGCTTTCACTATATAATCCCTCCAACCTTAGCACAAAGCTACAATATTGATATTTTATTTGAATTTTCGCAAAAAGCTCTAAACTAAATTAAAAGCAAAAAACTATTTCAAGCGTTGAAGGAAGTGTTAGTGATTGTGAAGAATATACTTAAGCTTTGGCTCCAAAATGCACAATGGCATTTGTTTTGTTCACATAAGGCTGTTCGCTTTTTCTATGAGCTTATGAGTTGTAAAAGCACAAAAACTTTCGCTTTTTTAGACCGCTTTGAAATATGCATAGCTAAGCGATAAAAGCTTACTTTTTACGTATTTACTGAAAACTTAAACCAGAAATCAAACAAACAAACAGCTGAAAAACAGTCGAAAATGAACTTAACATTTATTTTATACAGAACGCGAAGAACTTTTTCAAAAGCTACTTGCGCTGAAACTGAAAAAAAAAATTCCATTGCAAATACAAACATTATTGTAACTAGTGTATTTTACAGTAACAGAAGTGCACAATATTTTGTTTTTTAAAGTAATACACAAAACAAAAAATTGTTTAAGCTTTTTATGAAAGCTCAAAATTTAGAACTTGAAGCTGATGTGCAAGCTTTTCATATTTAACTTTCATGAAATAAAGAAACTTTTTCGACAATTGTAAATATACTTAATTGTAATATTTTTAACGCTTTAAATTAAATGGAGGCAAAATAAATAAAAGCACTAACGAGGAGGCATGAAAGCTTGGGTTTTGGTTATAATGTGGAAAGCAGAAAGCTTCAAACTGAAAATAGTTGATAACAGCATTATTACTACTGCCAATTAGGATGCAGTTTGTTATTGGTTATGTATATTACAGTGGAAAAGTTAAATTTATTTTTAATAAATATATTTATAAATTTTGTAAAATAAGCACATTTATGTTTCTAAGCTTACCTTTGTTGGCAAAAACAATGTTTTCTTATTTTCTTTTGCAAATACATTTTTTCCCCTAAATTATACTCTGAATAAAAATGTTTTGATTAAATATACAACAGACATATTAATAAACCATAAATTTTATATTTGTTTGTGGAGACCCCTGAAAGTATGCTTGTATTTTGCTATTGAGTAGATTGATGTTGTTTGAGAGAACATTTTTTATTTGCGCAAGTTGAAGCTTAGAGTTAGCTATTTTTTTTTGATAGTAAATATTTTTTAATTTTTTTTAAATATACATTCACAAAGTGTTTCCTATTAAAAATTTTTAACTTTCTATTCTGCATATTTTATGTTTTTTATTTTTTTATTCATTTTTTATTTTCCTAAGCAAAAGCTCGTCGCCTGCGTGTTTCTTTTGTTATTTTATTCAAGTAAACTTTTTAATTTTCTCTCCTTTGTGTTACTCTCTCTAGACTTTGTACTCACCTGTTGTACATCAGCACATCCGGTTTCCAGAGCTTATTTGGCGTTATTCGCAAATCTTTCACGCCTCCATATTCTGATTCATTCCAACGCAAATTATAGTCGTTCCATTCCTATTTAGCGTTATTGTTGTTGTTTGTTTAGGTGTATTGCATTATTATTTTTCCAGTTTTTTTTTTTTTTGAGTTAAAATGTTGAGATAAAGAAAATTTTGATTAATAAAATGATTGCTATTTATTTATTAATATTGCTTATGAACTAAAATATTTAGTAATTTTAAGTTAAAAATACCAATAATTTGTTATAAGATATCTTGCAATATTGTTTTTTTGGTGAAAAACAAATTAAATAAAGCAAAAAAAAAAATTATTTTTAAATTTTCATTTAATTATTCAACTAATTTTCTCGCATGAGATATATATATATATATATTGATACAAATTTTTTGCAAGATATTTCAAATATTTATGTAATAAATTTATATAAAATTTGTTGAATAAAATAAATAAATTAATATACAGATTTTTACATACAAATAAGAAAACCTCATATATTTAATTGTTTAAATTACTAATTAAATTCAAAAACTATTTTAATAAATAAGCTAAATTCTAATCATATATCTATAATTAACTACAATATGTAAAAAATGAATTTGCGATATTTTGGTCTATGAATATTTATGACTCAAAATGCTTGAACTTTTTTTTTTATATTAGAAAATTTTTCTTGGCTTAAAAGCAGCATGGAAAATCAGCAGAAAGCAAAAAAATGTATAAAAAATATATACAATTGCTTTATATATATACAAATGCAGCAAGAGATATATATGGAGTAGTATTAAAAGAGGGCAAATGTGGCAAAGAAAATTAAAAAGAAGGAAACGAAAAAAATTAATTGCAACTTTAAATATACATAAATACATTGAGCGAGTGAAAAAGGTTTGGTTTTTGATTGATTAATTACGTGTGGGTTATGTAGCTTTATTACGTATTTTTTTTTTAAATTTTTTTTTAATTTTTTGTTTTTAATAAAATACCAATAATATGCTAAATGAATACAATTTTTTCAAAATAAAGCGTATTGAAACATGCGTGAAGAATTATATTGAAAACTATAAATATTCAATTGTTTTACAATTTACAATTTTTCTTTTCAATTTAAATAACGCAATAATGATTATTTTTTATAATAAAGTTATCAAATATATTTAATTAGTTATTATTTTATATTTTACAAATTTCTTATGACTCAATTTATTTACGCCATTTATTAAACAATCAAGTTTCTACTAACAAGAAAACATGCAATAACATATTTTTAATTTATTTGGAATATTGTCAAGAAAAAAAATTCAAATTTAATTTTTTATTGTTTAAAATATTGAAGTTAATCATTTTAATGTCACCTTAAGATGACTAAAATTAATTGAATTAAATTATTAATTATTGGGTTCAAGCTGAGTAAATAAATGCAAAAACTGAAATAACAATAAATTAAGAAAATAGAAATTAAACAAATAAAATAAAAAAATTATAAGTTTAAAATAAATAAATTCATATACTCAATAAATAAATAATTAATTTAACTAAGAAATAAATAGAAGTATAGAAGAAACTAACCAAAAAGAAAATAATAAATAAATTTATAATTTTAGAACTGATTGAGGAAAAAAAGAAATAATTGAAAAGCTAAAACACGTATAATTTATTAATAATAACATAATAATATATAAAATACAAAAAAAAGAAAAAGAAAATTAATTAAAATCTTTTATGTAAATAAATAAATAAAACTACAATTAAATAAGTATAACAAATATATATTTACGTAATATATAACATAATTAAATTCTAATTAGGAAAATAAACATTTATATAAATAAATAAATTTAGCAAGTAAAATAACTTTATAAATAAACAAATAAGAAAATAACTTATTACCAATATAAAAATAAATAAATTAACAAATAAAAAGAAACAAATAATCAAATATATAAAATAGAAGAAAATCTACAAAAAATATGTAGTTAAATAAATATAAGTGTTTTTTTAAATAAATATATAAAAACATAAATAAATTCATAAATATGCGAATAAATATTAGAAAAATGAGTAATTTAATAAGTAAATAAATAAATATATATAAAAATAAGTATATAACCAATTTAATGTAAAATAAGTTAACAAAAAAAAAAGCTGATTAAATAATCAAATGAGTAAGTAAATTGATTAATAAATTAATAATCAAAAATATAACACAATTTGTTTAATAGTAAATAAATAATTAAATAAACCCATAATTAACTTAACAAATATGTAAATAAATAAATTAATTAATAAAAATGTCTGTAAATAGCTACATAAAATAAACAAAAATAGATAATTAATTTAAATAAAAAAGTAATAAAGTAAGTTGGCAAAAAAATATGTAAAAAAAAAGGAATAACATAAAAACAAAAAAAAAATTTAAACAAATTTGTAAAAAACTAAATAAATGAACAAATAAATAATTCAATAAATCCATAAAAAATTGGCAAATCTTTAAATAAATAAATAAATAAATAAAAATAAACAAATAGAGCTAATTAAAATAAATAAATAATTAAAAATAAATAAAATAAGATAACTAAAATAAGTAAAAACGTAAATAAGTAAGTAAATTAATAAATAAATATGTAAATAAATGAATATAAATATAATCAACAATATAAACAAATTTGTATAAAACTAAATAAATGAACGAATTCAATAATCCATAAAAAAATTAACAAATATTTGAATAAATAAATAAACAAATAAAAATAAAGAAAAAGAGATAATTAAAATAAATTAACAATTAAAAAATAAACAAAAAAATATAATTAAAATAAATAAAAACGTAAATAAGTAAGTAAATTAATAAATAAATATGTAAATAAGTAAATATGAATATAATCAGAATTATAAAAATATAAACACATTTGTTAAAAACTAAATAAGTAACAAATAGATAATTCAATAAATTCATAAAAAAATTAGTAAATCTTTAAATAAATAAATAAACAATTAAAAATAAAGAAAAATAGATAATTAAAATAAATAAACAATTAAAAAATAAACAAAAAAATATAATTAAAATAAATAAAAACGTAAATAAGTAAGTAAATTAATAAATAAATATGTTAATAAATGAATATAAATACAATCAAAGATAAAAAATATAAACAAATTTGTTGAAAAACTAAATAAATGAATTCATAAATATTTAAATAAACTCAGAAATAATTTAATAATTATATAAATAAATAAATAAATATGAAAGTAAAAGATTCAAAATAAAAATTAATAATCACATAAAAAAAAAATGTATAAATATATTAAAAAAAGTATGTAAAAAATCAAAATTAATAGAAAAAATGAATGAGTACATAAAATATTACACCAAAAAAGGAATTAAATTATTAAATAATTAACTAAATAAATTGGCATTTAAATACATGTCGAAAAAAAAACAATTAAATAGTTGAGGAACTGAATAGAAAACAAAGAACTATTTCAATGAGAAAATAAATAAATATTTAATAATTTATAATTAAATTCGTCAATAAATAAATAATTGAATAAAAAAGTAAATAAATTTTGCAAATAGATGAATGAAGTAAACAGCTAAATGATTGATTAAATAAACAAGTAAGAATAAATAGAAATGAAAAAAATTGTTTAATAAAAAATTTAATTAAAACTAAATAAAATAATGAAATAAATTACATAAAAAATCCAGAAATTATAAAAACTAAAACAAAAATCACTCATGAGTAATTGAAAAAACGTAAATAAATAAGCAAATCAAAAAATGAATAAATAACCATTTCTTTATAATAATAAGAAAAATTAATGAATTATAGTCAATTAATTAAGCCCAATAACCTAAACGTCAATTCTTGTTAATTATTGCAACATTCAAAATCGCACGAGACTCGCACATACATCCAGTAAAATTTTTTTTATATATTTTAGAAAATAAGTTGTTACTTTCATTATGATATCGTGTCCTGCAATAAAAAAAACCAAAAAAAAAAACAGGAAAAGGTACTAAAACATATCTGAGGCAGATCAAGAGTCCAATACAATTTCTCAGGAAACAGTTTTTCAGCGCATATGAGCTCATTAGCTACCACTAGACGTAGTCATTTCGACACATGCATCAAGAGTTTCTTCAAAAATTACTTCTCGCAACCATTAGAGGATTAAAATGTTCTAGAAAATTATTTTTTGGGAAATTTTTATTAAGAGTCTTCAGAGACAAGGTGTACTTTGAAGTCACTAGAGAATAAAAATGAAAACTTCTTCACGGAAACATGGACATTTTTTGGACTTATAAAAAATATTATTTAATACCAGCATTTTTTTCAGTCCTACGAAAAACTTACAACTTCATTTTTCTTGCACTTTTCTTCTTCCTCTTGCTATATATGCCGCTTGTGGCATAGTTTCAGCAGCTTATTGCTACCAATTTCTGTGGCTACGGCGCATTTTCTGTTTCACCCAAATTTCTTACAACTTTATATGTTAAGTGTGCATGTGATTTGCGGTCATGTTTTTGGCTTGTAAACAAGTTGTTTGTACAAAAAGTGACAGAACAAGGGAAACTCACAAAACAAAAAAGAAATAAAAAACAGCAATGTTCTTCAAAGCAGAGAGCGAGAGCGATGAGGATAAGAAAAATATATTTCTCCAAAAAAAAAAAGAGACCAAAAGTATATAACACCAAAAGCGTCAAAGCGGCAAACAACCAAAAACATGGCAAAGGATTTTATTTACTTTGCTGTTGTTGTGCTCTTATAAAAGTGGAAAATATGGAAAAACACAAAAAAAAGTGCAAAGGAAATATATTTTCATTTAGGAAATGAGCATAGCTCTATTATGGCTGTTTTGGCACACAAAAAAAAATACTTGTAATGACTAACTGAATATATATTATACTTTTAGGCGCTGTTGAAAAAATACGTGAAAAAAGTTGTATGAAGAAGACAAATTCTGTCAGCTCCTAAGTTTAGCTCATAAAAAATATAAAAGTATGTGTAAAGCATTGCAAGCAGTTGACAGAAAGTTTTGCTTTGTCGTAAAATATT